GGGGGGAGCCAGGTTGGGGAAGGTTGGGGAAGAAGACCATGGGCTAGATAAATCCAGCGCCACGTGCCTTTACGGCCGCTTGCTTGCATTCCCTTCACGACTGCACTGCAGGCTTAATTTCTGAAATGCACCATGCTTTAATGCGCCGCTTCCTGTCCCAGAACCTGGAAGCTGCTCAGCCCGACTTGGGGAGTTTCTGGGAAGGGCTTTGCAGAAGCTGCGTGCCAGCCACCAGCTCGGACGGCTTTTAAAGGGGCCTGGGCAAATTCCTTGAGGAGAAGGCTGTCAGTGATATGCTGCCTCCAGGGTCCAAGGTGGTTTCATGCCTACAAACCCCAGTTGCTGGGGAACATGGGAGGGTTACACCCCTGTCCTGCTGGTGGACTTCTCATCAGTGAAATGGATTGGACTCCCTTGGATCTGATCTGGTGTGGCTGCAATGTTCTCATGCTCTGCACATGGTCAGAGGTTATATCACATCACTTTGTAGCACTGGAAACAAATTCAACCAGCCTTTCACAGCCTGGTGGCCTTTTCCAGATGTTCAGGACTTCAGCTGTCCTCCCTACCGATCATTTTGGCCAGTGGTAGAAATACTGGGAGCTGCAGCCCAAAACATCTGGAGCAGGCACCAGGGAAAGTTTGCATTAAAAACCTTCTCTTCGTTAGTGCAAGTTCTTTTAATTTGGGAGTAGGAACTGGTTTGGGTTTTGAGAGGCTGAAGCGATTGAGTTGCTACGTAGCACCGTAAAATACATGCACAAAAGCAGAGTAAGGGTCCCTACGTTTTGACAATGCTTGATTTATGCGCTTTTCCTAAAAATGCAAAAGAATCAACCGGTTTGAAGATAGCTTGTTTCTCAGGCTTGCTAAACCGAGCACCTTTCCTCTCTGGGTGCAGCTTCTGTCCTCTCATCTGTTTAGCAATAATTATCACATCTCTGTGCATGAGAAGCTCTTGCTTAGGTTGATCTCTAGGCTAGCTGGATCTTAATGTCTGATATTAATTTATTATGTAGGATTTAAAAATAAATTAAGCCAGGTTTTAATATTTTTAGTGTATAATTTTTGTATAATTTTGTATGTTTTTGTTTTTGTTGTGAGCCGCCCCGAGGCTTTGTTGTGATGGGGGCGGCATAGAAATGTAATAAATAAATAAATAAATATTAAAGCCAGATTGGTCCCTTAGGAACTGCACAAGAGGAAATGCATCCCCAAAAAAGAGAACAGAACAAGACAGGGTTGCACAGAACTAGGACACACTCATTCATGCACATTGATTCATATTTAGAAATAATTAATATTATTATATTAACAATGAGAATGATCTAGGGATCTTCTGCATGAGGTGTTTATTCTGTGCCTGTCATTCCCTACTTGCGGTTGTTTATGGGTTCTGGAGTTGAAGATGTGACCCCTGGTTTCACTTCTGTGTCGAAAGAACTCGTTCGGCTCCTTTTGTTTCACTGCTGTTCTGGGCTGTCAAGTTGTCTCTGACTTGTGGTGATCCTGAGGATGAAGCCCCTGCAAGGTTCCCATCCAGGACCGCCCCGCTCAGCGCTTCTAAGTTCAAGGCTGCAGCTGCCCTGATGGCATCCATCCATTTCTTATCTGCTCTTCCTTTTCTTCTCCTCTCCTCAACTTTCCCTAGCATAAATGTTTTCTCCAGGGAGTTTTGCTTTCCCATGATATGCCCAAAGCACAGCAGCTGTAGTTCCTTCTTTTTTGCTTCTAGGGAAAGCGCCGGCTTGTTTTGGTCACGCTCCCTCCTGTTTGCCTTTCCGTCTGTCCAGATGTTTGTTTAGAGAAGGGAAAATGCTGTGTTCAGTGTGCAAATGACAGAAAGGTTCCCTGAGAGTATTTGCCCGATTTCGCTATCCCAGAGATCTCGGTGCTGTCACAAAACCAAAAGCAAGCACAGCGATTGCCCAGCACAGCTCACACCCTGCAGAGGGAGAGATCTTTTCTGTATGAGACAGATCATCCTCCGCATCTTTTTCTGGTTTCGAGTTCCAGGTGCCGCACAAAGAGCATTTCCTTTCCCGCTTCCCGCTACGGAACCCCAAGGTGGCACTGTGCAATAGCAAAATAGCCCAAATGCAAAAGCATCTGCTTTCACTTGGAGAAGAAAATATGGCATTTTCTCTGCTTTATATAAGCTTGTCAAAAGTGCTAGTCTGATGAAGAAAAAGTCAGGCTGGAGTGTTATGAAGTTCTTTGAAGCAGGGCCATCTTCACGCATGGGCCTGATGGGCCCTTGCCCGTGGGCCCCACGCTAATCTGTCCATGTTAACCCTTGGAAAATTGGAAAACTTCCCAAATTAACAGTAGTTGTAGTTGTCGTAGGGGCCCCAGAACAGTGCTTTGCCCGAGGCCCATAATGCTGTTAAGACGGCCCTGCTCTGAAGGACCCATAAACAAGGAGTGAGTAGAAATGGCAACTGCGTGCGAAATGCCTCGTGTGGGAAACTCCTGGGTCCCGGGGCCCCTGAACCCTCCCACGCAGTTGACTGCCCAGGCCCTAACTGTTGGGGGGCAACAGGTCCCGTGGCTTGCAAGCTTTGGACCAGAATCCGGGAGGGCTGCTTTTTTGCAAATGCAAAATAAGGGAACCAGAGTGCCTGGTTTTAAAAGAGAACCCAGTCAGAGTCTGCATTAAGGGATCCTGGGGGCACTGAGAGAACGCTGCCACAGGGTCTTTTAGGCAGGCCAGGGAAGGAAACAGCGGAGGAGGTGTTGCTTCAGATGTCTCAGAGGGCAGACACAGAGCAAAGACTTGAAAATCTAAATGCTTCAGACCCTTCACAGGGGCACTGTGGCTGACAACACCAAGTTCCAGAGCTAACTGAGTCCTAGGAACATGTTCAGGGTGATATTGAGATGGAATATGAAATCTGGGAAGTCTTCCAATGAGGAAGTGTTGTAACAATGGGCGTCTGCCATTGCCCACCCGCCATCAATCGGAAAAGTGGATGTTCTAATCATGAAAAAGAGGTTAAAACTCTTGAGGCCCTAAATGACTGACAATATTTGGTTATGGCATTGGACCAGGTGACCTGCGGACACCCCCTGCACCTGCAGAAGATGCTCCAGCTCCTTGCCCTGCTGCTCTTGGCCCCCTGCGTCCTGCAGGCTGCAGGCACCAACGGTGGTGTGAAAGTTCGAGTGACCCAGAAGGGGCTGGAATATGGTGAGTGTCGTGCGACCTTCTCCCCGATCCCTCGCCATGTCCTATGAGCGTTTTGGCCCAGGCGACTTGTGGGGTCTCGTTCGGGGGAGAGACTTGCGCCTCCCTTCCCCTCTTGCATCCACAGAAGGCCCGGCATTTCTTGGTGAGATACCTGCCCGTCTAGGGGCCACCTTCCTTCCTTGGGGCAAGGCTTGCCTCTTCCTGCAGGAGTGGCTTCCTGAGCGCCTCTGCCCTCGAGGAGCCTTTCCTGCTTCCCCACCAGGTGTTAAGCCCCGGTCTGGATAGACCTGCAGGCCCTTGGCCTCTTTCTGCTGGGCTCTTCCCGGCTCCTTGCCAAGAAGCCGGGGCAGGGGGCTGAAGAACAGATCCTCTGCTGTCTCTGCTCGGGACACGCAGCACCTCCCTCTCTTTCTCCCAGCCCCTTCTCTCCCCCTCCTTTCCCCCTGTTGTTCCTGGGTTGAACAGCCTGCTCCTGGAGCTTCACTCTCCCCCAGCAGGGTCCCCCTAACCTTGCTGGCCGAGGCCCCACCAGGCAGACCTTCATTCTGCCTTTTTCCTCAGACCCAGTTCCTTGGGTGTCTTCAGCCAGAGCCAGAGGACGGCGTGGCCCAGTGAAACCTGGCAGCCTCTTACACTCCCCTTCAATGTCCCCAACTATGAATTGCACGTGTGAATGGGCAGCAAAGCCAAGCGTGTCCTTAAGCTCAAAGTTTAAAAATTGGCCAATTTCAAATTTAGCAAAATGTTCTTGTAGCTGTGGACCTGAGCTGTGTGAATGACTGGGCTCAGAAAATACGATGAGCTTGGATGATCACTGAACTGTAGTTTATTGTTGAAATGTGGGTTGTGGTGATGTCTGAACCCAACTGCAGTTACAAGCCATGGCTGGTTAACCACAAACAACCCATGCAGAGAAGCCATGGATTGTTCTTGGGTTATACACTGCGGGTTGTTCAGCATGGATTGTTATCTTGGCTGTAGCTCCTGAAGCTTCACTGTGGGGGAGAGTGAAGCGCCAGGAGCAGGCTGTTCAATCCAGGACAGACAACACGAGAACCCACTTTTGGCAGTAACCCATGATTCAACTACCCTCAGTCCTTATTCAGCTCTTGAGTGTGTTGTCCAAGAACAGTCACAGGGGGTAAACATCTTTGGAGATGGAACCAAGCTTCCTTCCCCAAGCTGGTGCCAAAAGGTACCTGTTTGGAAGGCTGAATTCCTCCAGACAGACCCACATCTTCGAAATCCTTCGTTACTTCTGCAATTCAAAGTAGCTGTAAGTGGTTACAAAAGGGGTGAAATTACAGCTTCAGGGTAATTCCCCATCATCCAATCACCCTTATCTTAAAACCAACGGTTTTAATCCCAGGGTCCTGGTCCAGCCAAGGCACCTCACTTCAGATTCTAGGAAACTCAGGAAGGAACAAAATCACCTTTGTCCAAGATGATTTTGACAAAATTCAATGATGAAATACGGATGCAGAATTTAAGCAAGCAAAATAAAGTTTGCACTGGCCTTCTCTGTGGCTGTTTTGATTCCCTGAATAGGCCAGGGGGCTTTGCGGGCCTGCAAGGGTACCTGGCCAAGCCATGCATCAATTCCTCTTCCCAAGTCAAGAGGAGTGTCTCTTGCCATGGATTTTACAGTGTTCCTCTCTCAGACTGTTTCAGGGTCTGTCCGTATACCCTGGGAAGCTGTGAGGCTGGCAGCTGCTCAAAGGGAACAGATTTGGTTCTCGCAGCATCAGGAACTCCTATTTAAGGAACATCCTTGGGAAAGCAGCTTCTGGCAACGATTGCTGGTGCTCTTCCTGACAAGCCAAAGGCCATAAGAGCTTGGCGGGGCTTCAGGAAACGACCTTGACTCTGGCACTGGGAGTGCTCACATTGCTACCTGTTAATACCCCCTCACCATTCTTCCCGCAGGCCTCACCCTGCACACCTCCGGTCCTTAAATAGCACCAAAGACGATTTCCCTGATCTGCTGCTGTAACTGTGATAACAAATGCAGAGAAACGGAGACTTTATTCCCTCCTGAGGGCAGTCCTTGCATGCCCTTGGCAGACCCTCTGGTCCCCGCTTTAAAGTTGCAACTCACACCTGAGCTCTTTGTGCTAGAGGGACAGTCCCATTACTCTGAGTGAAACGGGCAACCAAACCAGGATTGCATGACCTGCCAGCATCTTTTTATCTAGAGCTTCTTTTCCAGGTTTCCTTGAGGGATTATCTCCTAATCCTCTATTTAGTCCCCTTCGTTCTTTTCTGCCTGCATCCCAGCTTGATTCGGAGGTTTCCTGAAATGGCTTTTGGGATTGGTAAACTCACTGCTTGCTGCAGTGTCGAGTTCGGTGCAGAGCTCCCGTCTCTCTGGTTTCCTTTCAGGTTCCAGGGCTCATGTATGCATTATAGATCAAAATGATGCAGAGGGCATGCAGAATCCCCCTTCTGCTGCAATTTGATCAGGGCCCGTGTTTTCCCACGTAAGGAGGGAGTGTGGAAAGGGCACTCGGGAGAGTCTCAGGGACCTCCATGCCGCCTGCAGTGCCTCCGTGGCCAGGGCTGGGTTGCTCCTGGGCTGCCAGTGGGGAAATAAGGCCAGAGGAAGGAAGGAAGGAAGGAAGGAAGGAAGGAAGGAAGGAAGGAAGGAAGGAAGGTGAGGTGGCTGCAGTCGTATCAAGATGCTCCTGGTAGATACGCCCTTGTTGCCCCGAAAGCGACCACCTGGCACCCCCTGATCTCACCCTCCGTTGACTTTTGACAGGAAAGGAAGTTGGGCTGGAGAGGCTGAAGCAGATGCTGAAGAAGGGGAAGATCCAAGATGTGAGCGGCTCTTACAATGTACCGATCCTCGGGAGTGTGGATTACTCTATCACGGGGTAAGAGGCAGCGCGGTCCCGCCCTCGTCTTGGGTCCCTGGGTCAGGCTGTGCCAAGCTGCAAAGCTTCCCCGCTGGCCCCCTCCGCTCGGACCCACCTGTCAGGGCAGGACCTGGGGCTCTGCTGCAGCTCACGGGAGAGCAGGGAACGGCCCTGGAGCTGCGGACCGCTCCGGAGGCCAGCCGAGACCAAGGCCGCCCCTGCTCCCGTGCGGAGGCAGCCCGTCTGCTCGCCTTCGCTCTCAAGCCTTTCCCGGACCGTTTTATGGACGCGTGACAGGTGCTTCTCTTGTGCTTTGCTTTAGGATCCGGGTGGACGAGCTGCAGGTGAGCAACTCAACCGCTGCCTTCTCGGAGGGGACAGGCCTAAGCCTTGCGATCGGAAGTGCCCAGGTCGTGCTCAGCGGCAGCTGGAAGGTGGCCTCTGTGCTGGGGTAAGGCTCGACCCGCGACTGGGGGCAGTTCCGAGCAGGCAGGCGGTGCTGGGGGCCAGCATGCAGAGATGGAGCACGGTCCAGGCATGCCGGCACTCTGCTAGGAGAGGAGCGGTCCGGAACCCAGTGCGTACTGCCAAGGGGCTGGCTGTGCGAGTCCCCCGAGTATTGGCTGGCTGGCTGCATTTCCATCCTGCCTTTCCTCCAAGGAGCCCGAGGTGCATCCCTCGTCTTCCACCTCCTTATTCCCTCCTCGCAACAACCCTGCGAGGCAGGCTAGGCTGAGTCTGGGCCTGGCCCAAAGCTGCTCAGTGAACCTCATGGCCAAAGGGGGATTCGAACCCAGGTCTCTCAAGCCCGACACTCTCACCACTATACCAAGTGGGCTTCTTGGGCACGAGGGCAGATGGGATTCCCATCCAGTCCAGGACCTGGATGCCAGACCCGTTGGACCGAGGGAGCCAGGGGCCTTGGGCTGCTGTGGCCAGGAGGACTGCTCCATCAGCCCCGTGAACAGAGTCTGCCTGGAGACACTCCCAGGCTCTCCCAGGCCACCGTTGCCTGCACGGGACACGCTCCAGCCGGCCACCGTTGCTCTCCCTGCTCTGCTCAGGCACTGCAAGTGCAAGCGGCGTTCAACAGCCAGCCTCTTTCCCCACAGAAGCGATCGCGGCCTGCTTAACATCAGTGTCCGAGGGCTGTCCGTCTCCACCCTCCTGGGCGTGGACAGGGATGGCAGAGGACGGCCGAGTGTGTGGTGTGCCCAGTGCGATTCCGGGATTGAGGACTTCAGCCTGACGTTCTATGGGAGAACCAGGTACGCAGACCCTGCCGGCCAGGGGTGAGAACATGGAAGGCCCCACATCCATTCCGGGAGAGCATCCCAGTGCCATTAATTGCTATTATTTTATTGATTTCTAATGGAAGCTCTCAAGACAATACAGGAACACACATTTCACAACAATGCACAGGCCACAAATACAACACAACACAATATATTTTTCAGTATTTAACTTTCTGAAACAAGTTAACAGCTAAAGCCATTTCAATGCAAACTAAGTCTCTTGAAACAGCAGACAGAGATGCCCCGTCATGCCATTAAATATCATGAAATGCTTCTAAGCGCCTGGGACTAGAAGGCAGCAATGAAGGCACCATGTGGAGAAAGCCTTCTGGAATCCAGAAAGGCTCTCTCGGTTGCTGTCACCTTCCGGATTTCCCTCGGAGGAAGGCTGGCCGGGGTGTGTGGGCAGATGTGGGACTCTGTCACTTACTGCAGCCCCGATCCATGTACCCCCTCCTGTCTTAGGCCAGGGGGTGGCCGGCTTGCCCCCGTCCCTTCACTGCAGCCAAGAGTAGCTCGCTCGATTTTCAGTGGGGCACGCAGAGCCCAGTGGGTGGCCTGCGTGCAGGAAGTCTGGGGCTCAGTCCTCAGTACTGTCTGCTGGATGTCTGGGAGCAGGTGCTGAGGAGACCTCTTCTCGATGGGGAGGAGAGCAGCTTCCCGTCAGGGCACAGGGACAGCGCGGCTCCCAGCGTCGGAGGTCAAATCACGCCTTCACAGGCAGCAGGCCGAGTGGCACGGATGCAAACGCATCAGGCTGCTGGGAGGCACGCTGGACCCAGGGTGTAAACTCGCTCTCTGTGCCTGGTTTGAGCAGCCACCCCAACCTGGCACCCGCCAGCTGCCTTGGACTACAATGCCCAGCATTCAACACATCCGGTGGGCACCAGGTTGGGGAAGGCTGCCCAATCCCCAAGCGATTTGCTGGTGGTACGGAAGATGCAGGACCTCTTTGTAAGGCCAGGAAGCACGAAGAGCTCGGTTTCGACATAAGCAGGCGCATGGCAAAGTCCTGACGTTTTGGGGTGACTTTCCAAAACGCCCCCCCGGAAGGCTCGCTCAAGCACCCCCGGGTGATGATGAACCGGTGGTGCCCCCTGCTGTTCGCCCGAAGAGAGGGCCTTCGGGTTGCTGGCCGCAGTCTTCCTCGGCTGATGTTTGCTCCTCCTTCCCTGCAGCTGGCTCTACAACACCCTCGCCTCTGCTCTCAGGGGGACCCTGAAATCCGAAGCCAACAGACAGGTGAGATCCGGAGCTTCTCATCTCGCTCCCTCTTCCTAGAACACACCCTTTGCATGGGTGCCTTTCTGCACTGGCCGCCCAAGCCCTGGCCCAGGAAAGGCATATTTTGGGGGATCAAGCCCCAAGCGTGTGGCTCCAGGCTCAATCCACCATGGCCGGGGAGACCTTCAGCTAGAGGAGTGTCCCCCATAAATGGCCACCCCGCTCTCTGTCCTTCGTAATGTTCTGGGTTCTGTCCCCTTCCAGATATGCTCTGAGATCCGGAAAGGAACGGACAAGCTGGCATGGGACCTACAGACCATGGATGGTAAGCATGCATGCCCAGGCCTGCAAATTCCAGAAGGGGTTCCCGACCCTGGGAAGTGACTGCCAGGCAGAAAGGGTTCCCGACCCTGCTGAGCCCGCCTCTCTCCCGTCCTCCCGCAGTCTTGGCCCAGATGGACCCCTTTGTGGGGATTGACTATTCCTTGGTCAGCAAGCCGCTCTTTGGGACGGATGGGTGCAAGGTGGAGCTCAAGGTAACCGGGGAGGCAGGAATCCGGTGGATCTTTTCAGCGGGTCTGTGCATCAGTGAAGGCTTTTCCCCCCTTTCCCCCTCCCTTTCTCCGGGGCTCGTGGAAGGATGAGCTCCCGCCATGCAGAGTCCGAAGGAAAAAGGGCGAGGAGCAGGCAGAAGCCTTCCCCAGCATGGGTGGACTACAACTCCCAGCATCTCCCAGCAGCATGGCTGGTTGGAGATGCTGGGAGCTATAGTCAAGCCCACCCCCCCCTTTGGATGCTTGCAGGGGGCTTCCACGGGCCCAGTGCAGCTCCCCGCGGGGGGAATGCCAGGCACCGACCGGCCGAGCCGCATTCCGGCCATGCAGTCGGCTGCCCAGGGACCAACTGTGCAGGGACCCCTTCCCACCCCCAGCAGCTCCTCCTGCATCTTCTAGGGTGGCCCTTCAGGTAGAGGACTGTGCCCTGCAAGTGGCTCCCCTCCTGTTTGACCTTCCTGATGCCTGGGCTGTGTTCACTTCCATCTCTGTTCTGAGCACCAAAAAGGAACTGGCAAGCTTGTCCCAAGGGGCACAGTACGACCCTTTGGGCTGGGAGTCGGTTCCTTCCGGCAGATTTGGAAGGGCCCGTCCAGCCTTTCAGCCCCCCGGGGCATGCCACTGGGTGGCCTTCCTGAGGAAGGGGCTGATCCGGCGGTGAGCGTCTCCGCTAAGCCAGCGTTCTTCCTGCCCTTGCTCTTCAGGGAGAGGTTTTCGCCATGGAAAGCTCTCGCAGGCACCCTTTCCTGCCCGCCCCTTTTGCCCTGCCTGACCAGTTCGACTCCATGCTGGTCGTGGGCCTCACGGAGTCCGTGGCCAGCTCGGCGGCTGCTGCGTACTTCAGTGCCGGAGCGCTTCGTGTGAATTTCACGGACAGCATGGTAAGGCCGCACGGAGAGAACGGGCCCAGTTCAAGGTGTTGGTGATGACCTATAAAGCCCTAAACGGCTTGGGTCCTGGCTACCTGAAGGAGCGCTTGCATCCATATATGCCCGACCGCCCCTTGAGATGAGCGGGAGAGGCCCTTCTCCGGGAACCCTCCGTGAAAGAAATTAGGAGGGTGGGTACCCGGAGGAGGGCTTTCTCTGCGGTGGCGCCCAATCTATGGAATGTGCTCCCCAGAGAGGTCCGCCTGGCACCGTCGCTATTTGTTTCTCGGCGCCAGGCGAAGACCTTTTTATTTAAGTGTCATTTTAATTGTTAACAGTATTTATTTTATCTGGCCAGGGCGACTTCTTTTATATTGTTATTTATTTTATAATGTTATTTTTATATTGTCACTTTAGTAGTTTTCTTCATATTGTGAGCCGCCCCGAGGCTTCGGCGAATGGGGTGGCATATAAATGTCTTAATAAATAAATAAATAAATGGAGGCAGAACTCCGCTGGATCTGACGTGGGCAACGATGTCCCCAGGAAGCCCCATGTGCCACAGCACCCTCCTGCCCATGTCCCCCAGCCCACTGCTGGGGCAATAGATAGCCAGAAATCACTGACAGCCGGATTCCAGCTCCCCCTCCCCACAGCTGGCGCCGCTGCTTCTGGGGGAAGCAGAAGATGCCGACCTGCCGCAGGCACGGACGTCCGGTCGAGCAGGGACCAGACGGCTTCGGTCCAGGGTCGGGGCAGGGACCGATTGGCTCCTCAGCTTGGGCGGCAAGAGGGCTGAGCTGGCCCGGGATCCCCCTTGGCCTCTGCTATGGTCAGGCTATTTTCCTGGCCTCTCCGGTCTCAGCTGGGTGGGGCAGCCGCCGAGAAGCTGACGGGGCACCTCTGCAGGAACGAGCAGAGCGTTGTTCCGGCCGCAGCTTAGCGAGGCTTACCTCCAGAAACTGCCGGGCATGAGGTTCTGAGCCAGGAATTTGCAAAATAGCAGTGCCTCTGAGCATATGCAGAAGGGTCTGCTCCCCCTTGGTTCTATGTACCCTGCTAGAAGGCGAGGCTTTGGGGTGGGGTCCTTGCACTGCAGGGGTAGAACATGGCTGAAAGATGGAGACAGGGACTGGGAAGGCTTCTGTCCCAGTCTGGCCCTGCCAAGAGCTCAGGAGTTGACCTTAGGCAAGTGAGCATCTCTCGGCCTCAGTTAGCCCATCTGTGTTATGGGAAGAAAAAGACTGAGCTACCTTTACTTTTGTTTCAGATCCCAAAAAGTTCCCTGATCCATCTGAACACCAGGGATGTTGGCTTGTTCTTGCCAGAGGTGAGTTGAGAAATGTGAAGGCCTCCAGGATAAACACAATGTGTGTCTCCTCTCTCTCTGGCCTTGAATGGAAAAACCAAAATAGGGAATGCATGAATTATTTCCTCTTTTAGAATGTGGGGGATGATAGAAAGCAGCGAGTTAAAATAACATTGCTGCAGCCAATTCACACAGCTGCAGATCTCCCAGATCCAAGATTCATCTGCGGCGATGCCCGTGATGCTTCTGCGTTTGGGTGGAATACTAATCTGGCAATCTTCTTATGGCTTATTAATGCAACCGTCTCGCCAGACGCTGCTCTTCATCTTTTGCTGCTGCTCACACATTTATTCTGGAAGTCTGTGAGCATCTCACCTGTGGCAAGGTGCTTCCACAACATATTAATTTTACTTTATTTATCTTCATTTATCGTATTTATATTCTACCTCATATGATTCATTTCATTTCTATACTGACCCGTAGCCAAAGCTCTCTGAGTGGTTTACAGCAATTCATAAAAACAAACCAATAAAATGCAATACAACTATCATAAAATCAAAGCAGCATTAAAATGAATTTAAAATAGCTGAAACATATTTTAATGACCTTGTAAAAGGAAAAAGGAGAGCCATGTGGGGTGGGCAGTATTGTATTGTATTATAATAGCCTATCTATTTCTTATGTTTCTATCCTACCATTGTTTTCCTCCTGCAAGGATCCCAAGGTGGCTTATGTAAGCCTTTACCTTCTCTCCATTTTATGCTCACAGCAACCCTGTGAGGTAGGCCGGGCTGAGGACCAGGGACTAGCTCAAGGTCAGCCAGTGAGCTCTGCGGCTGAATGAGCTTGGGCCTGGCCCTCCCAGGTCCTAATCCAACACTGCAACCCCCATGCGCCCCCTTCCTCACAGTCTTGGGCCCCTCTTGCTTCTCATCCTTGCGAATATGTGCTTTCCAGCCTCACTAGACTACATTTCTCATGATCCTTGACCACTAAAGATGCTGGCTGGGGCAGATGAGGGTTGGAGCACACAAGGTACCCCACAACAAGTTAAAAAAGGGATATTTGAAAACAGTGCTTTCTTTGTAAGAAAAAAGGTGCCGGAACTCATGAAATTATTCACCTTTTGCATGTAGTCAATCACTGTACACACACCCACACACGTCAGTTGTGTAACAAAACATAACGGTCACCGCCCGTAGTAAGCACTCAGCGCGCGACCACACGACCGATCACAAGCTGAGCAGCACCACAAGCTGAGCAGCGCCATCACAACCAGTGCGGACGAAGTGCGCACACATCGGATTCGACACACAAGCAGCCCGCATGCACCGTTTTAATGATTTTGCCGCCGACCTGCTATGCTTGACAGGGCGAGTCAAATCCACATGGACCAAACATCAAATTTTCAAAAGTTACTTATAAAACTTGGAAAATCTGTTGGAAAAAAGTGCCGGAACTCTGTTCCGGTGCGTTCTATGACAAAAAAAGCACTGTTTGAACATTCACACAACATCATCAAGGAGAAAACCACATGGAAGTTTGGTCCCTCTATTTTTGGACTCCAGTTCTGATTAGGAAAATAAAAGTGCTTAGGGACATATTGCTTAGTAGGCTGGCATAAAATATTAAAAATATTAATATTATATAATATTAAACCATTACAAATATGGTTTCAGAATGCTCTCTTTGCATTTGATGTGTGCAGCAATGTCAGGGGACATTCCCCATGTACTGCTTCTCCATAGTCACATAGCAGAATTTTTGTAACGATTTCTTTCCACATGGAGCCGAAGGCTCAAAGATGCACGTCCATCACCGGATTGCTGGGAGAATATGGAGGGAGGGATTCTGCCTGCCATTCTGGGCTCTTTGGACAGAGGGTGGGCTAAAACGGTGAAAAATAGTTTTCTTAAAAATAGACCAGGATCCACCCACAGGCTGGCTGGCATGAAAGATCCTGCCCTGTGCCAGATGTGTAGAAATAGCGATAAAACAATATGAGCCACGGATATCGAAAGCTTGACGAACCCTCGGCACTGCCCGATGCATGTGTCCGCTCCACTCCTTCCCGACGCGCTGCTTTCTCCCCTTCCCAGCTGAAGAAGCGGTTCCCAAACATGCCCATGGAGGTCCGCGTTGCTGCCCGGAAGCAGCCGCTGCTGAGCATCCATCCTGAAGGTGTGCGGGCGCAGGTCTTTGGGTCCGCAGAGGCCTCCGTCATCCTTCCGAATGGCAGCCTGGCCTCTGCGCTCCTGCTCGATATCGTAAGTGCCTGCTCTGGGGGTGGGGGCTGCGGGGGCCTTGCTTGGAGGGGCCTCTGGCCTGATCCAGCAAAGCTCTCCTTCTCCTGAGGAGAAATCCAACCAGCCGGTTCTCCTTTGGCCAACAGGACAGCAACCTCACGGCACAGCTCTTCCTGGAGCCGGTCAAGTCCCGAAACTCCATTGGCAAAGTCAGCGGCTCACTGGTCCTCGAAGAGTGAGTTCCTCTGCGCTCGGGGTTCCTCCCGCACCCCGGAATCAGCTGCCCTAGGCCAGGGGAACAATCACCCGGTGCTCAGTGCAGCGTCGGCCAGCGTTCCCCGCTCTTTACGGAGCACCTCCACAAAGCGGTCCTTCTTCTTGTCTTCCATCCCATGTCAAATATCAGAAAATCCCATTTACGGGGAAAGAATGGAAAAGGAGAAAAAACTCCTAGTACAACCGTCTTGGATCTGATGCCTTCCAAATGTTCCGGACAACAACTCCCCAACGCCTGCTCAGGATGGCTGTGGCCGATGGGAGTTGTAGTCCAAATGCCCTGGAGGGCACCAGGATGGGGGAGTCAGTTTTGGTTTTTTGACAAGGTTTTAATATTTGCGACAAAGTTTTCAACTGCACGAGGATCCAGAGTAGCTCCACGGGCACCTCCCCGGAAAACAAGGAAAGGCTTTGTCCTTTTGGGCTCCTGGCTGCAAACCCTGTGCAAGATGGCACGGCATGGGCACAACTTCCCAGGTGAAGGTCACCTGGGCCACAGCCTCCTGCTGCAGACACACCTTTGTGGTGAGCACCTTCCACGCGTTGCAGTGAGTGGTCTGGGGCTGCGGAAAGATGGAAGCTCCCAGTCCCGACTTCGCAAAAACAGCTTCCCCCAAAAAGCACAGCGAGGGCTCACTTGGCATTTTCTCTCTCTGTGTGTCCAACAGTTTTCACCTGTCCCAGGTGTGGTCCAGCGTCGGAGATATCAAGGTGAGTCAAACAGAGCATGAAAGAGGAGGGAAATGGGGTGAGTTTGGATCGTGGAGAGTTGTGCTGGGGACCCTGTCGTGAGGTCGCGTCACCCTCCGTTTGAGTATTCCTAGTGCAATGCTAAACTCGCCTCTGCCCCCCAGTTTGGGTCTTGTGGCAGGGGGACGAGGGTACCTTTGCCCCTCTGCTCCCCAGCGCCACGCCTCTGCTCTGGGGCAGGGGCCCAGTTGGACAGGCTATTGGCCACCGCGACCCCACATGGCTGGTGGCTCCCCCCCCCGGGCCAAGACCCCCCCACACACCCCACAGTCCAGGAGTCATTCCGATGGCAGCTGGCCCCTATTTCAGCACCGGCCCGGGAAAAAGCATTACCTGGGGAGCTGGGAGGGAAAGGCGCAGGAATGCTGGAGGGGGCAGCTGCTCGCCGGAGGGCGGGAGGCTGCTGGGACCCATGTCTACCTAGCGGGTTTTAGCCACCTGGGTAGGAAGTGCTGCCTCTCCCTGGGGGGAGACAGGCCGTAGCGACCTGCCTTGCTGCAGATGTTATCTTAAGAAATAGCGCAGCCTTTCTTCCCAGTTTCTAGCTGCTCCGTTCAGGGAGTTTCTCGTTGCTGCAAACTGAACGGCTTAGCACAGGCTCCCTTTGGTCCCCCCAGCAGGATCTTTGCCACCCTGAAGCTGGCGGGGGTCCGTGGAGGGACATCTGGGGCTGGCTGGGGGGTCCACGAGGAGGGGGAACGAGCCGATGCCACGGCCGCTGCACCCAGCGGCTCTTTGGCTGTCCAGCAAGCAAGGGGCAGCAGCCACGACGGGGGAGAGGCGGCCCCCTGTCTTGCTCGGCCCCACGGAAGGGCCGGCGTTGCCCCTCGCCCTGTCTCCCCGCTGCCTGCCTGAACTGCCGTTCTCTCGTCCAGGGGACGTTTCTGGACAAGATCCTGAAGATGGCTGTGCACTTGGCGGTACCACGGATCAACAGTGAGTCCAGAACAGCGTCCACCCCCATGCGCATGCCCCCCCCGTTCTGCTTCTGGGTGGGAGCGCCCTCCCCCTTCCTGAGGCCCCCACTGGCCTCTCATGACCCTCCTTTGTTCTTCTTTAGAGCGCCTGAAGAAAGGGGTTCTCCTCCCCTACATCCCCAACGTCAGCTTGCTGAACCCCAAAGTCACAATGCACAAGGTGAGCCCCCCGATGGGAGAGGCGCGGCAGCTGCCCCCTAGCTGTGGCATGACTCTGTGCTGAGCGGCTGCATTTTGCACATGCTCAGAGGCACTGTCCGGAAAGCCTGAAGATGCAGAGCAGTGCTGGGGAAATTTCCCTGTGCAGAGGGGAGGGGGAATCAATAAGGAGGCACAGCTGGACCCAGAGCCGAATGGGACCAGAGTTTGGATGGTCAGGCACCGCAGGGCACATGGTCCCACGCTCTCTCTGCCACAAAATCTGCTTTTTGCATAATATTCAGTGTGAATTTGCGGCAAAAGAGGCTTCAGGGTGTGTCCAGAGGGGCTTTTATCATGCCATCCATGTGCCTCATTTATGGACTTGATGGAAGGTCTGGACACCACCGTCTTGCATTTCTAACCCTCCTGGGTTTTCCCACTGCCTCTTCCACCTTTCTTCTTACAACTGGAAGTCACAAGGAGGAAAAATGGGAAGAGGTCGTGCTAGGAGCCACCCATGTGGAAGTGCTGGTAGGCACAGCCGAGCAAAGCAAAAGCACGGAGCAGGAACAGGGATGGAGTCTGGGGGGATCGGGGCCCCATGGGTGAGGCAGGTCCCACCCGCGAGTCCAGCTTGGGGATTGCTTTTAATCTGCTTTTAATCATTTGACCATTTGAAGACTCCTTGCCTACATTAAGACCCCTCACATGTTTATAACCTCAGATTTACCACGTCAGATTTTAAAATACAACGCAACTGTCATGAACATGCTGAAAAACAGAAAATATAATGTGTCTCGGGAAAAAACATTTCAAATCCAAGGATAAATGAGGCCTTGGAGAGTTGTGCCACCTGCATCGCATCCCCTCCTATCGGATAAACATCGTTGGTCATTATCTCCCTTCAGGGTGTTCCGATCGGGGTCAGACCCTGTGGATCAGAAAGGCACTCTGCTTTCTCCCAAGTGAAAAGGGGAATCTTTAAATATACAGCAATGCTCCACAGAGCGAGATAAGGGAATTGGCAATCACGTGCAGAGCACGCTGCCTTCTCCTTTATCCGGTTTACGGCTTGACTGGATTAGTTGGGGTGGGGGACAAGGCCTGGCATGTCCCAGCTAACTCTTGGAAGTTTAGCCTGGGCAGTTCACGAATTCAGAGAGCTGAGAGGTCTTTGGTGGTTCCTCTGGCCAGATCTCAGCTGGCGCTTCCGGATGGAGGGCTCCTCACGCCAACCAGTCGGAAAATGGCAGCCCCGTTCGCACCATCGCCACGGCTTACACAAGCTATTGTGGTTTGCCTAAGCCACGGCCCCCGCCGGGCCCCATTGCAAATCTCAACCCAACAACAGGTCATTCGATCTTTTCCTCTTTTCCTTCGCAATGGGTTTTTTTGTCCCAAAAAGGGTCAGGGGAGACAGAAGGCACAGCGAGGAAATGAGGGAGGATTGCAAATAGAAAACAACCACATCTGGAAACACCCACTGCATAACCTTCTGTGAATGGGGCAGGCAAATGCTAGAGAATAAATGCTTTCCAGGGCATTAAAACCAGTTGGGAAATAGAAAACAGGAACGGGAGCGGATGCAGAATGGGACCCGTGAGACCAAGGGCTGCAGTCAGTGCCTCACCCAGGCTAGACCGCCAAGTGCCCAACATCTGCTTTAAGGGTAAACAAAGAGGAAAGGAAATCGCCGCAACCTTGACGTGAGGCGCGAAAGCGATAAAGGCACAGGGAGTTTCCAAGGCCTCCTTCCCCGAGGCTTCGCAACCAGTGCAGGAATTTGGCTGCATGACCAAGAAGGAAGGTCCGGCCGAGCTGTCAGTGGTGCTGTAGGCCCTTTGGGATAATCTCAGTCAAGCTGCCTTCAAGGCCACACTCAACTTTGGGAAATTTGTCACCATTCTTGCAGGATAGCCTGTCTTACCCCGTGCGCGATTTCACGACATTAAACCGCTTCGTGAACAAACAACACAAGGGCAGCCACCCCTCTTTTAGACGAAATGTCAGAAAGGACTTCCGAAATGAATTATTATTATTATTATTATTATTATTAGAACATTTCTATGCCGCCCCTTGCCGAAGCCTCGAGGCGGCTTACAACACAATAAAATACAATACAAAAATAACAATATAAAATTAAAATTAATAATATAAAATAAATAAAAAATATAAACGATATAAAAGAAGTTAGAAAAGTTATAAAAGAAAAGAAGTTGCCCTGGCCAGATAAATAAGTAAATATTGTTAACAATTAAAATGATGTTTAAATAAAAAGGTCTTCACCTGGCGCCAAAAAACAAATAACGACGGCGCCAGGTGGACCTCTCTGGGGAGCACATTCCACAGATAGGGCGCCACCGCAGAGAAAGCCCTCCTCCGGGTACTCACCCTAATAATTTCTTTCACGGAGGGTTCCCGGAGAAGGGCCTCTCCTGCAGATCTCAAGGGGAGATCTCAAATATAAAGAAACTTGGTGGCAAAGCAGTCTAGAGATGTGTTGTAAACAGCCCAGAGAGTTTGGGCGATCGGGATTGTTATTATTCCATAATGATATTATTAATAATAGAGATGATGTGTGACAGAGAAATGGTGCAGAAGCCTTCACATCTTGCATTTCCCCTACAGGGATTCATGGTCTTAACAACAGACGTGCAGCAGCCGTTATAATAGCTGTGAGGAGCGCTAAAAAACCCAGGCGACAAAATTTATTTACCCCCTGCTCGAGGGTGGAGAACTTCCAAGCCCAGGTCTCACCTACTTGGGAAGATTCCCAGTCCAGACTACGCCCATCCCAGGACCATCTCCGGAACATCCTCCAGGATGGAGGCCGTGCCCCCTTTGACCTCGTCAACACAGGGCTTCCGGGGCTGCTGGCTCGGTCACTGGCTACGTGGCACTGGGGGAACTGCCCTTTGCTATGGCATCTTTTGCTGACAAATGGCATGTGTCCATCATCCACAAGTTAAAATGGAGACGTCTCTGCCCATCAGAGGAAACTGCATGAAAGGGCAGAGGCTAGCAGGAGGCTGTGATGGTTTCTCGGGGGGGGGGCTACCTGTGAGACCCCCCAACCAAAGGGCACACTCCTCCTCCCAGCCCTCATGGAAGATGCTTTGTGAGCGCTGCAAAACTCTTCCAGGATTCATTGGAGGCCAGTATTGCTAGTGGTGAAGCGCCCGCTGTCCGATGTTGTTTAAAAGTTGGGGAAATGCCAGCTCCGGGTTTCCTCAAACGCAGGGATTCACGTCTCCTTCTAAGCAGAGTCATCCGTCCTCTGGGCCTCTTCAAGCTGTAGGTGTGTGTGTGTGGCAGGGATCACCTGCAGTTGCACACTGACAGTCCCTGCAAGCACAAGAGGACCTGTGGATATATAGCGGGTTAGTCCAACATGGGATTAGAATCCTGCAGCAAATAGGATTTGGGATAGCATCCTGCAGCAAAAAGTTGCAGTCATTCAGGGCTTTCTTCCACTCCAAGACTGTCCCTTCCTTTCCCCACCCTGATTTTTCTGTCCTCCAGTTTGCCAGCGGATGCGCTCTGACTCCACAGAGCTGTTCTGGACTTTCCCTTGGAGGTTTTTCCCCCCAGACTCTTTTTAACTTCTGCAAGCCTCTTCTTACCTCCTCCTTGTGTGACTAGTGGTGTTTCCGCTGCATGTAGTTCCACACTCAGAAAATTAACTCACTCTTGGTATAGAGTCATCAGATTTCATCGAACAGTTCCCAAAACAAAGCATTAGTACCACGGAGACAAATCATCTTGGGGTGTGCGTAAAAAGTTTAATTGCTGTTCCGGCCTCCCCCTCCCTAGGAAATCAGCTCCCTCCATAGCACAGGCCTTTCTCCTAGAGGGTCTTCTCCAACCTGGGGGAGCCGCATCCCTCTCCAGCAGCACGGTCAACGATGGCAGGACTCAGCCCCCCAAGGCATGTGGGGGTGACAGAAAGCCCCTCTCAGACATTCTCTGGTGAGGTCCATGGCCTAAACTCATGACGCAATTCCTCGTTTGCGAGCACTGTGAACCAGGAAGGATTTTATTGTTGCCAATAAAGCTTGCCTTTTAAATGTCTGTTCTTCACTTGCCTTGGTACAGCGCATCTCCTGTGATGAAAAGGGTCTAGTCCCCCCCACACCTTCCCCAACCTGGTGCCCTCCAGATGCATTGAACTGGTGTTTGGCCATACTGGCTGGGAATGCTGGCTGTTGTAGTCCAAACCTTTGCTTTGTAAGCCGCCCCGAATAAATTAAAAAAAACCCTCTGGAAAGAGCCAGGTTGCGGAAGGTTGTGCAGCACTATGAAACGGGATTCTGTGAGCAGGCCTTCCGTTCAAGCCCAGCCTTCTTCGGTTCAAAATCCAGTGTGATATACTGGGAAGATCTCTTCCCGAGGCCCTCTGGCAAATGGTGCCAATGAGCGTGTGCAGGCAGTTCAATTTCTAGTAGCCTGGCGGAAAACTGGATGCTGCAGTTGTGATGCGCCTGCAGGCTGGCTCTCCCTGCAGGAAGAAGGAAGGACTGGGGGTCTAGAAATGGGCCAGAAATGCCTGTCTGCTCCCCGCTACTCCTGAAGCTTGTGGCATCGATCAAATTCAGGTCACATAGTATGGCTCCCGCTTAGGAAGCACCAAAGCAGAGAATGCCGATTGGCTTGACATGGACACCTGCAAGGATATATTTACCAGCGCAGATTCAGAAGGCATCATGGCATGCATTGCTGCAAGAGAAATGCCTGCACTTTGCAGAGTGGGAACGGCCGAGGGTGGCCAGGAGTCTCTTTGGCAGGGGGTGGTCCTCTCTTTGAAGGGCTGTCCAGTCCAACTCCAGTGGAAAGAGAAAGCGACCCGAGACCTGCAGCCCATCCGCAGGTAGCACTCGGGCAGCCAACTGAAGGAGTGGGCACACAGGTGAGCTGATCTCAGACTTCCAGGTTTTTCTCTTTAAATTCTAGTACTTTCTAGATGTACACCTGTGCAGGTACATTGCCGCACCTGCATGTGATGCCAGTTGGCATCCCTTTTTGGCAACCCGTAAGCGGCCACCTTTACCCTCTTCAGCTGGCCCAGCACTGCTGGCCCACAGAATTTTCCAGTCCATATTCTTAAGCCGAGGGAGAGCAGTCCGTAGAGCAGAGACGGTCATGTGCTCCAGTCCAGCTTGGATTTGGGGGATGCGAAAGTTCGCAAGAGCAACTGCCCCGCTAGCTCGGCAGATCAGGTTGGTGTGGCCACGGCCCAAGGCGAATGACGCCCGGCAAGGGTAGATGACCAAATGACCGCTGGGGTTTTCCTGCTTGCCTGGGACTGCAGAACCGGGCCTGGCCTTGGCCAGTCTAGCCGGCCCCGACTCAAGCCTCTATGGGCCCTTGGACAAGACGTCCCAAGACACCTCAGGCAGGCACCTGCTCACCACCACGGCCGCCACTGTGTCTCGGCCCACCAGGGAGCAACCTGGCCGGCCGGGCACCTCCTGCTGACCACTGCCATGGCCCAGGCAGGAAAAGACGATAATTCAGGAACCTGATGCTGCCTCCAGGGCCAGAGGTTGGGGAACATGGGCATGGGGGTGCCTCTGCATTTGTGTCCTGCTCACCAGTATCTGGGGAGGCCATGCTGGGCGAGATGGGCCCCATCCACTCCAACAGGGCTCTCTGGATGTCCCCCAGTCTCCTTGAGGTGTGCCTGGGCTGCAGCCACCCTGCTGCAGTCCTGGAGCCAGGGGGCCACCGCTGTGCATGGCAGACACGCCTGTCCCGCCAGGTTCAGAGAGGGGAGGGCTGGGCCAGGCGCCCAGTGCGAGGCGCCCGGCCTGGAGAACGCGCAGGCACCGTCCTTTTCTCAGCAGCCCCTCGCCTCGGTGTTGCGTCTGTGCAATGGGCATGAACTGGACGGATGCAAAGCTCTCTGGACGGGAGGGGCGACCAGGGAAGCAGCAGGCACGGCGGGCCGCTCTGCCTCTGCCCCCCCCCCCCCGTCCTGCCCCAGAATCGGCAGCTGCTCCGAGGACTCTTAGCATGGAGCGCCGGTCCGTGCGCGCAAGGAACGGGGCGGGCTTGGCCCCCCGGCTTGGCACTCTGCGCCTCGGGGGGGGGGCTGCTCCTGCTCTCGCAGGCGGCGGGAGGGGGCTCTGCAAAGGGGCCGCGGGACCCCCTCCCCGCTTCCAGGCGCCCGAGGGTGGGGGGGGAGGGGCGGACAGGCGGCGGCCCGGTCCACCCCCCGCCCGCTCCTGGCGCTGCCCGCGCGGGGTCCTCGCCGCAATAAGAGTCCCCGGCCGCCGCCGAGCGCTGGCCGCCCGCCAGGCTCCGAGCAGAGCTGCCCGCGCTCGCCGCCTCTGCCGCGTTCCCCGCCTGGGCGCCGCTCCTTCCCCGCCGCACGGTAAGTCCCGTCCCGCCGGCCCGCTCGGGCTCTGCCCGGGACCCGCCGGGCGCGGCTGCCGCGGGACAAGCCGGCGGGGGGAGCCGCCCCACTGCTGCCGAGCGCCCCGGCTGGAGAACTTCCTCGCTCGCCGGCGGGCCTGCGGGGGAAAGCCAGGCTGGCCGCAGCGGGCGGACTCCGTCGGCTCCGCACCGAAGTTTGGCTTCCACGCCCCCCCCAGCCCGGGGCGCGCGCGGCCCCCCAGCCCCATTCGGACCCCCCCGCCCGCGGCGCAAGGCGCTCGCTCGCGCGCACCCGAAGCTCCCCAGGCCCCGCGTGGCAGAGGCGCCTCCCGGGCCGGGGGCTCCCCGAGGGTCCCGCCCGGCGCGGCCCCTGCTCGGGGGCTTTTCCCTGCGGCTGGAGGTCAGAGAGGACGGCTCGCCCCCTCCAGCCACTTCCGGCGGCCGCAGCCACCTTGCCGAGGGCCCCGTGGCCGCCTGCCAGCTGGTGGACAGAGCCGGGCCCGGGTCCGGGCCCGGGCGGCGGCCGGGGGCAGTCGCCCCTCCAGCCCCGGGGAAGCGACCCGCTGTGGGTCTGCGGCCGCCTGGCCCAGGCGCACACGCACCAGCTCCGGGGGTGCCCGGGGCGCCGGACCCTGAGCTCCCCAGGGGCCTTGCCTCCTTCCCCTGGCCCGCTTCTCTCCTCTCCCCGCAAAGCAGCCATTTGGTGGGTCTGCTCGTTGCACTGCCAGAAAGTGGGGGTGCCGCTCTTGAGGGCCAGTTTCTGGCAGCCGGAGGTCAACGCCACGCTTGCCTGGCGCACTGGCTGCTTTGGCATTGCCTCGCGGCCCACCCGCTTTGCCCTTGGCCTGTCCCACGCCTAGGGCGCCGCCGGCAAGTTTCTCCAAGGGCGCCTGGACCTTGGGGGCGAGGTTCCCTGGAGCGGCCCAGCCGCCTTCCCGGGAAGCAGCCTCCTTCTCGGAGGCCAGCTGGAAAGGAGGCGCGGGGGCCAGAGTCGGTCGGGTCGCAGCAGCTCGGCCAAGCCAGGGCCTGCCGCTGGGTGCTCGGCCCGGCCTGCCTCCCCTTCCCGGGAGCCGGCGTGCTTGCTTCCCCTGCAGCGGGCCTCCAGACGTGTGGGCCTGAAATGCCCCCAGCGCCCGGCATGGCCTGCTGCGGAGGACGCTGGCCGGGCAGCCCAGAGACGGTGCGCGGCAGCCACTTTGGAACAGATCGGGGGCCCGTCCGGAATCAGTTTCACGCAGTGACCCCGCTGGGAGAGGGAGAAAAGGGCTCAAGCCCCAGCTCAGCTCCAGAGTTCAGCAGCCACCGACTCTCAGCCCAGCCTACCTCACAGGGTTATTGCTGTGAGGATGGAATGGAGAGAGCGGGGGACCCGTGTTCGTCGCCTCGGGTTCCTCACTAGCGGAAGAATGGCAGGATAGAAATGCCGTGTAATATTATTGTACGGTTTTAATTGTTATGAGGCACGTACACGGCTTTTGCTAAGGGCAGAACAGAAATGAAATGAAGTGGAAAAATAGATGCTTACATCCCCAAACGGACCAAGGTTCATTTTGTTCTGCATTCCAGCCCCTGCGTGGCGGGGCCATTTCCCCCAGAAGGCACCGACCGCGTAGCCTGCTAATTGGGTTTTTGCATGGCCTTGTTAATCCCCCATCGCTACTCCCTGTTTCATAGCAAAAGTGAGACCCAAAGTGGACGCAGTGAGCTTTTGTAAATGAAGCAGTCACTGTGTGTTCATCAAGCCATGTTCGTGTTCGTTGACGGATTCTTTGGACAATGCCATGACCCTCCAGTTTCCTTCCATTTTTTCAGGAGAGCTTCCTCAGTTTATATCAGAATGGGGAAAAGGAATATTAGTTTTGAAAGCAAAGGAAAGCATATTTTTGTACCTGCATAACGGCTTTAGCACAGTGCCTTTTAGAGGTTATATGGGGAAAGCAAAACAGGAAGAGAGCTTTGCATGGCGCTTGGATCTCCACCCTGGGTCAGAAGGGAAGTGGCGGACGGCTTCGGGCAGCAGAGCTCAACAGGCGAGCGAGTTTCCAGTGGCCGTCGCCTGCTTGGCCAGCGCATCGGGTCTCTGCCTCCGTGGCACTGCGGCCCCCACACCCGCTTGACAGAGGCGTGTCTCTGCTTGGGCCCTGCAGATGCTATCGGTGCCATCCCTGCGTGTCGGCCTCCTGGCCAGGAAAGGGATCCTGGGAGCGGCCAGCATCCGAGCAGCCCATGGCCACGGCGGACACGGTAAGAGAACAGCCCCCCAGCCCGTCCTCTCCTTCGCTCATCCAGGGGCAGCCATGGCCTCCTTCTAAAGAAGACCCCCGTCCTGACAGTCGGCTCCCTTAAGGGACTTAATGGCAGAGAGAAAGAGAAAGGAAGATCGCGCGAGCAGGACCTGTCACAAAATGTTGCAGCGCAGGTGCGCCTGCTCAAGCCAGCCAGCCAGCCAGCCATACCCTCGCCCAGGATACTCCGTTCCCTCAGCCAGACCAGTTTTCCTGCCCACTCCATTGGGTCGGCCAGAGACTGGTCAGTGCAGATGGCGCTCTTTTGAGGGTTCCCCCTCTTAGAGCCCTTCCCAAGAAGTTTGTGCTTCTGCAAAGCTTTCCTGAGACGCCCCACTCTTGTGCACGGATGATTCAATTCGCCTGACATTTGTCAGATGGCCATGTGTCCTCCCTGACGGAAGGCAGTCCTCTGTTTGAAGCCCAGGTCCTGCGCAAAGTTAAACCACCATGAAGGGGGAAAGCTGCTCTTTCAGCCATGCTTAGTATTTCTAAATCTGCTTCTATAGGTGCATGTTTCAACACGCATATGCTGTGCAAATCCGCATCCCCTTTTGGGAGAGGTATTAGTGGCAACCCTAGAATGAGTTTGCTCTTCTGAGCTGTGATCTCTCTTTCAGAAATTGAGCATATGAGGCAAAACTTCCCCTCGAACCCCAAAGAGGCTTTTTTCCTTGTGTGTCCCCCAGATACGTTTTCCCGCTCTTGCAACAGAACCTGTGATGGTCTGTAACAGGTCTTGTGTCATCCCAGGATTAGTCTAGGAGTGACTCCGGTTTGATACTTTAAACTTTGCTATTTGCTACATTGCATCTGACTTCTTAAAAAACTGTTAAAGGTTGGGATACTGGCCCCTCTATTTAGAAAAAGAGTCCTGGACTAGGCATACAAATAGGTTTTCCCGGAAAAAAGAAAACAACTAAGAAGGATAGCTGATTTTGTGGAAATAGGGGCTCTTCCTGAGATGGGAAGATCGCATGCTAAATTCTCCAAACTGAAGCTCCTATGTCTCCTATTAGGAATTAGATACAAAAGCCCTCAAGCATCAGCGATCTGCTTATAACCAGATCTTCATATTATCCTCGGGTTGTTAAAAGCGCCATCAGGTGCAATCCAGTGCAAGGCCTCCAAGTTACAGGCTTTTCTGTCCGTGCTTGCATGGGATCGCACCCTTAATGTCCGCGTCACTTTGCCCCACTGGATGTGCACCTGTCTGACGAAAATCACCTGAAAAAGTGAAAGTGCCTTCAACCATGAAGGCAAGTCAGCAGCCCCTGCTGGTGCAAATGAAAATGAAATCGACCCGAGTCCCTTTCCGTATCCAGGAACACACAATTAATTGGATTAACTCGCCAGAAGGCGCCCTGTGGGTTGGACGGTTGCTTGTTTTTTCCCGACTGCAGTGGGCTAACTGGTGGCAATCCTGCTGGAAGGATTCTCCTTTGCAAAGGTGCGGATCCTTGATTTAGACCCCAAAGTGAGCGGCTGCTTCCCGCAGGCCGGCTCGAGGCTGCCGGTTCCCGGCCAGTCGCTTGGGCCCCCTTGGATGATGGAGCGATGCTGCACCCAGTACCTGTCCTTTCTTCACGGTCCCCAAGCAAAAAAGAGGAAAGGAGGGAATGAGCTAGCATCGAGCAAGGTGGGGGGGGTAGAGCACTTTGCACCCCTGGGGTGCCTGGTTCCAGCCTCTCAGTGCAGGATCCTCTTGGAGATTCCAGAAAGCCGGCAGGCCTCTGGAGGGGCCGAGGTTTTTTCAATCCCAGGGGCTCGAACTGGGCTTGCTGACGAGGGAGTTGACTGATAAACAGCATACCTTGTGTCAAGAGGCAGCGAACGCAGGTATGCCGGGGGTGCACATTCACAAGAGCATCATGGTTCATTCAGACATCCAGGAAGTACATGCAGCTTGTAGGTAGCTCCAAAAGGAGCCAGCGAGATGGAGCCTGGATGGGAGGCGTGCGGAGCAGGAGGGGGGAGGGGGAGGAGTTTGCCAGAGTCACTACGGCCAAGGAACAAGGCCATGCTGTGGCTGATGGGAATAGGGGAAGCTGACGTGCGTGGCAAGCCAGTCAGCTTGACGAGCAAACACCTGCTCATTATTTCTCACGGTGCTGCCCTTTGTCTGTCTTCCCTGCCAAGAAGCGTCAGCCGCAAGGACTGAAACCAAGCTGAAAGGACAGAAGACACCAGCAGCTTCCTGCTGCCAGCCCGTGCCAGTGATACTAGCTAGAGGAGCCAAGGGTCTGGCTCCTTTTGCAGCCTCTTCCTAAGCACATGAAGTAAGAGGCACAGAAAACCAAGCAGCCAACAGAAAAGCCAGTTAGGCTGTGATGACACAATATAATTAGGGGCACGAGCTACGCCGGTAATAATAGAGTTCAGGCAGCTCCAAAAGACAACAGAGAAAACACTGCGCATGCAGATCCAGCCCCCACCCCCGAGGACTGGCTTCCATAGCGAGGCCCACGCCTGGAAAGGTGGACGATGTGGACGTTGCTGGTCCACACGCTGCCATTCCCGTGTCCCGTTCGGATCCTCAGCAACGTTGCATTAAAATGTGCCAGAGTGACACTGCCCTCTCACAACTGCTGATAACGATCAATGGTTCAAAGTACCCGGTGGTGGCAGTGCTGTGTGTGGCCAGGTGGCCTGCCTGACTGAAGAAAGGACTGTCCAAACCGAGGCTGGTTTAAAGGCCAAGGGGCCTCCGTGGAAGTCTTGGATTTGCCCGTCAATCGTTGCCACCTGGGCAGCGGCTGGCCACGGCTTCCTACACCTCTGCCAGGTGGATGGCATCCTTACCTGAACCATACTGTCCTTTCTGCATTCCCCCCGTGCGTCTGCATTAGCACATGCAGATGCTCCGCAAACCCTGCTTGGTGTGCCTGTTGCAGCGGTAGTTGCTTCGAGTGGATGAGGCAGTTCTCTTTCACTCCCGGTTCGCCTGTGCAGAGGGGGGGCAGTCGCTCCTGGACCTTGAGAAGGACCCTCTGAGATCCCCCAGGGCCAAAGGGCACCTGTGAGGATGGAGCAGAGACACGCGCCGGGCGGCCCATGAAGAGCTGCAGTGCCTGTGGGACCAGGATGAGGCGCGCCCCCCACTTGTGGGTTCCAGGGCCAAGCCAGCCTTCATTCCATCCTGCCCGTGCTTCGTCGCGTAAGCAACAAAGAGTTTTGTGATGCAAGAAAGACACTCGTATGCATGTTAGACAGAGCTGCTGGGGCATGCTGGGAGTTGTAGTCCTTTGCTCTCTAAACATGCATAGTGACACACTTTCATTGTTGCACAAGTTTTCATGGACTGTGGACGGGCTTCATGAGAGGCAAAAAGGGGCATCCTAAACGTTGCGAAATGGAAAGAGATGCAAAAGGTCCGGTTTGTGACAAGGCTCAACCGAAGGCACAGGCACTGGGGCCCTTCACAAAACCCTGCCGGTGCCCGTGGAAATTGCACGGCTGGGGCGAAACATGTTATTACGGCCTTTACGGGGTTAAAATCCACGTTCTCGATCCAGGCCACACACAAGGGACGTGCGTTTCTTGAACAGCCGCCGGTTCATGCCGGGGTCTCCACTGCAGGGTGTTCAGGAACGGCTCCTTTTAGCGGAAGGACAAGAGACGGGGACGAGTCTGGCTAATTGCTCTGGACAGTCGGACTGGGTGCCCAGCTGGGCCTAGCAAGGGATACCTGTTGCCTCTGAAGCGTGGATGGACCACACGCCCCAGGCCTTAACGCCACCAAGGCGTTCAGCCTTACTCTCCCCCAGACACGAGGTGTTCAAGGACAGGCTGGACGTGCACACGGTGGGCATGTCGTGAGCGGAGCCGGCGGGTGCTGGGGGTCAGACTAGATGGCCCGGGAGACCCCTTCCGACTCGCCCTGTTCCTATGTTTCTATGGCTCGATTCCAGAAAGGAGGCCGCAGCCAAGAGGCCACAGGAGCTGGGCAGGGCTGTAAGGGAGGGCTTTCATTCCTGGGGTTGCCCTAAGTCAGAGACGACCTGACGGTATGTCACAGAAACAACTCTCTTTCCACAGAGCAGGAGGGCTGGCGTGGCCGAAGGCTGCTTTCAGGCCAGAATGGAGAGGCCCTGTGAGAAAGGCTTACGAGTCTCTCACACCCCCCAGAAGCCTGCTTTTTGCTGGTGGTTTTTGGTTTTTTGGAAAATTTAACTGAACTCTGGAGGAAGCTGGAGGATGCCCCATAATTTCTTAACATTTCTACACTGCCTTCTCTTCCAGGAAGCCCTCAAGGTGGTGTGCAACCATTCTAAACAGTGAAGCCTTAAAGCAAGAACAACGAGAACATTAAAAACAGTAAAGATGCCTATTTTAGGGGGCAAAATTGAAGCGATGCACCTTGTCACATCTTTTCTAAAGGCCAAGAGCGTGGGGGTCAACCACAGTTCTGTGGGGAGAGCATTCCGTTGCTTGGGGGCAACACGTGGGAAAAGGCCTTCCTTTCAGGCTTGCTGGGGAAGCGCTGCCCTGTCCATAAGGTCCCCAGGTTGTTACCTCTCTGCCCAAGGCCCAATCTAGTGGTTGCCGATACCTGAGTTTGTGTTTTTACGATTCTGTTTTATGGCTCTCCTTTATTGTTTGAACTGTTTCAGTTTTGCTGTGATTTATTTTTGTTCCCTTTTCTTTTTTTCCTTTTTTTGGCCTCCTTGAGATTCATTCTCTCAGAGCAAGGCCAGAGACACGGATCCAGGCAGATAAGTGTTAGGAAAAAGAACTGCTGTGCCAGATCCTAATGCTCCCTCTGATGCCAGTGACCCTTGGCCAGGAGAGCTGGAAGGGGTCACAGGGCTGCCAGGCCGTGTGGGGCCCGGCAGGCTGCTGCTCCTGGGAAGCTTCTCGGTTCTGAAACCAGCGCGTGACCTGCCCGGCCCCCTCCCAGCCCCCAGGGTCCGTGGCGTGCCTCCTGGTGTCCAGCGAGCTCCGCAAACGGAGAGTCGCATCAGGAAGGACTTCCACTGCCCCTCCTGAGCAGACCAGCTTCACAGAGTGCTGCACGTGTCCTGGCATTCATTTGACGAGTAAATTGGCTGCCCCCTTAAAGACTTGTAAGCGGAAACAGGGCGGCCACCCTGCAGTGGCCTCCCTGCATCAGCAGGTGAACAGACCGGAGACCTTGGGCACGCCTCCCTATGCTGGGATCGCTTGTTATCCACAGCGCATGCGTGCACGCGTGCACACGCAATGCCCGTTTGCCAGCGGCAAACTGCGGTGTCGGTACTCTCCATGACGGCCCCCGTCCCCCGGAGGGACCCGAAGGCAGGCAGCCCCGTGGCTCCTGATTGGGGCCGGAGCCCTTTCCACCTCCCTCTGGACGCCCACCCGCTGCAGAGCAGGCCACCCCAAAAGACCCCATGCCAGCGCCAAGAATAGAGGGGACTCGGTCTTCCCACACCGGTGCTGCAGGGGGCGCAGCTGAGCCCGGGGGAGCGAGGAGTCCTGAGGCCCCGGAGGGCCGCGTGCACGCCTGCCGGCCCTGCTGCCGCTGCTGCTCGCGCGGGGCCGTGCCGTGCCGTGCCGTGCCGTGCCGTGCTGAGGCTGCCCCTCGCTCTCTCCCTCTTGCTCCAGTCGTGGCCCAAGAGGACTTCTCGGTGAGCCACTACTACGACAGGCGCATCCAGCCGTTTCCGGACGTGCCCTACTGCAAGGAGCTGGATTCGGCCCAGAAGGCGCTCAAGGAGAAGGAGAAGGGCTCCTGGACGCAGCTGACCGATGAGGAAAAGGTGGCCTGTAGGTCGTGGCAAGACCCCCTCTTTGCACCTGGGTGTGGGGGGCCCCCGGGGGGCTGGGAGGGAGCCGGGGCTTGCCGCTGGGCCGGGGCAACCACAGAAGTGACCCTTCGGGGCAGCATGTCCGGGGGACAGAACTGGTGCAGCCTTGCCCCACTGGAAGACGTTTGCCCCCCGAGGCTGCCCTTGTGAGTCTGCCACCCCCGCCCAGGAGCCCCGAGCCGCCAGCCCACATGTGTGGATCCAGCCAAGGTTGGGGCGGGGGCGGAGGGGGCGAGAGGCCCTGCCGGACCCTGACGCTGCCTTTGCCTTGCAGTGTACCGGCTGAAGTTCCACCAGACCTTTGCCGAGATGAACAGGCGCAGCAGCGAGTGGAAGACCGTGGTTGGGGGCGTCGCCTTCGTCCTGGGACTCACGGGGTTACTCATGTGGTGGCAGCACGTCTACGGTATGGAGGAGGGGGAGGCGGCCGTGCGGGGGTCCCGGCCCCGCCATAGGCCCGCCCCTCGAGGCCGGGGGCCCTGTGCCTGCCAGACCGGCATGGTGGGCAGAAATGGCCGCCGTGTCCCTTGCCCCCCGGCACGGTGCTGGGCCACGGATGCCTCTGCATCAGACGAGCCGCTTTCTCTACCGGGATGGGAGCCCACGGCAGCCCCCGGGTTCTCCAGGCCCATGTGCCCCCTCCCCTGGCTGGGCGGCTTTGCGCCCATGCCGGAAGGGCTGAAGCACCCCTTCGAGGGCTTGGCGAGCCTTAGTGGCAGTGAGCACCTTAAGCCAACATGGGGGGCGGGATTTGGGTCCCCCACGGAATCAGAGAATAGTACAGCTGGAAGGGGCCGAGGGGGCCACTGCGTCCAATCCCTGCTCAGTGCAGGACTCCAGTTCAAGCATCCCCAGCAGAGGGCTGTCCAGCTGCCTCGTGGATGCCTCCAGGGCGAGAGCCCACCTCCGCCCCAGGCCTTGGGTCCTGCTGCCGAACTGCTCCAACAGTCGGGAAGCCCTTCCTGCTGTCCAGCTGCCTCGCTCTTGAGCGCGTTGCCCTGTGCCCTGCATTCTGGGGTTATCCTCCCTCTGCCGGGGTCTGCTGATGAATGGGCTGGGCCGTGGCGACACCCTGCTCCTTGCCCCGGGAGGGGGGGCTACCCCCTTCCCAAGGCTCTGCCACAGCACTTGGAGCCACGACCGGCACAAAGCGGTCTTGATTTTGCCAGCTTCTGCCCCACTTCCACCTGCCCCAGGCTTTGGCCAGACGTGCAGGTGCAGCAGAATGGACCACTTTGGACTGCCGTTTCCAACAGATACCTTATTTTAATGCTCCAGGAAGTGAATGCTCCATGATCTCTGCAAGGAGAAAGTTAGCACATCAGGGGAAAGGTTCACTCTTTCCTGCCATGCTAGCTTTCCATGCAGGGAAGTCCCCGCTCCGATTTTTCACAGGCAAATGCAAAGCCCGGGATGGGATCTAAATCTACCTGGGTGGCATCAGGGGAGGGAGGTGGCTTTAGCCTGCCCTGTTATGGGAGGGTCTCCACCCGCTCGGCCGCTGGGCTCGGCCTCGGCTGCGTCGCTTCTGTCTCAGAGGACAGCGACGGGGCAAGAATGGTCCTCGGCATTTCGAAGCGCAAACACCCCATGAACGCAGCCAGGCTAGGGGATGCTGAGCCCCGCACAGGGCTGAGCATTTGGTGGAGCACTTCCACCCCACGACAAAACAGCCGGGAACGTCAGCCGCAGCCGGTCTGTTCCCGGCACACGGCTGTGCCGGAAGGCGTTCTCCAGCAGGGGGCGCCCGCGCCCATTCCCAGCGCAGCCCTCTGCCCACGGCTGATGTTCCTGGACCTTTGGGGAGTAAACAAGCTGCAGCCAGTCATGGCAGCTCGAGCTCCTGAGCGCCGGGGCGGGAGGAACAAAGGGGCCGCTGTTTTGCTCACCCTGGTCCGGTGCCCACGGAGCTGTTTTCTTGGATTTGCAGTAGCAGCCCATCTGTCAAGCGAGGGGGTGGGGAGGGAGAGCTGGGGAAGGAGGAGAGAGGGCCAGCTCCGCTCCTTGGCTTTGCAGGAAGGATCGCTCGGGCTGGGCTTTTCTCTGCTCTGGTGCGTGGCCAGCCCAGAGGCCTGTCGGCCCGGCTGCTCCTCCCTGCGGACAGCCAGCGCCGCGGAAAAGCTCTTCGGGCCCTCGCCCAGTTCGCCTGGTGGACGCAGGATGCAGGAGAGCCGTGATGCAGAGTCGTGCTCTCTGTGACTTGACGTGTTCGACGGCCCTGTGGAGCGTCTGGGCTCGATCGCTTTGCGGCCGTCTCAGCAAATGGGTTGTAGGAGGGCTGGGTTCCTTCATCAACAGGAGGGGAACGCTCTGATCGAGGAAGCGGATCACTTTGCCCTGAGATGACGTGGGGGGCCCTCGACATGGGCTAGACTATTGGCCAAGCCGATTGGGGTTGATGGGAGTTGCAGTCCAACCACCAACCAAGCGGAGGGGTGCAAAATGGATTGAGTGGGTGATTCTGCAGCGAGCCTAGCCTTGCACCCGCTTGGGACTCCCTGCTGCTCTGGCCTACAGCTCCCAGCCTCCCTCCCCCCTCGCTAAACTGGCCAAAGATCTGGAGGGCTGCAAGGTGCACACCCCAGTCCTCCCACCGAGCGGGAATTCGCTCTCCTCAGAAGCGGCTTGAGCTTCGCAGCCCTGAAATGCCCGTGCTCCGCTCTGTGCTTCCAGTTAGAGGTGGGCCTCGGCCCCCTTCCCTGATCTACTGTGGGTCCACTGGATGCCTAAGATTAAGTTCAGGAAACCCCTTTCAAAGCAGCCCACGAGCCTAACACCGCCCGCGAGGGCTGGCCTGAGTTCGTCTAGCCCAGCCCACCGGGCCTGGGGCAGGGAGGGGGCTCTGGCAGCCCTGCCTTGGGAAGACGCTTTCGGCAGACGGCGGGAAGCTTGAGGCTGGGACCTGCACGTGCCCAGTGCCTGCCGCGTTGGGCACCCGTGGGGTGGTTCTTCCGTAAGAGCCCTCAGGGTAGCTCCCATCGCCTGGTTCTCCACTCGGAGCCCCGAAGGCAGGGTGGAATTCCAGCGGTCTTCCACACCAGGGTGCCCTGTGGGAGCCTTGGATGCCACTCCCAGCATGTTGCTGGGGGATGCTGGAACTTGCAAGCCAACGATCCTGGAGGCTGTCAAGTGGGAGGAAGCAAGCCAGTCTGGTGTGTGCAAATGTGAGCACACACAGGTTGTGCGTTGCCCGTGACGGGCAGTCCAGTGAGAGCGCACGGCTGGGGAATGGCGAAACGCCAGCCAGGCCTTTGGCTGCAGCCCCACTGTGAGGGGCGCCCCCGGGGCGGGGCGGGGGCAGAGAGGGCCTCGTTCCACAGGTTGCCAGCATGGGTGCTTGGCTTCAAGCTCCAGGCTTCAGCTTCCCACCCTCCTTTGAGATGTGCCCATCAGAGATTGCGACTCGCCCCCAGGTGACCTGGGCGGCCAAGGAAGGAGCTGAGCATGACTCTGGGGGCACTGCCTGCTTGGGGTGCCCCCCCCCCCTGAATTGAAAGGAGGCACCTTCTGCTCCCAGCGCAGGCTGCCTTCTAGAATGCCCAGGAGCAACCTCTGTGCAGGAGGTCAGGGGGGACCGGCTGAGCAAGGCATCCCCCAGCCTCGAGCCAGGACTCCTGCTGCGGGGGCACCACAGGAGGTGCTTCAGCTGCCTCCATGAAGGGCAGCTCTCTCTCATCCAGTGCCCTCCAGGTGTGCTGGACCACACCCCCCATGGCTGGCTGGGGGATGCTGGGAGTTGTCACCCGACGTATCTGCAAGGCGCCAGGTTGGAGAAGGTTGCAGGAGCCCTCCCACCACTTGCCCAAGGTGGGGATTTTCCGCTCACAGGAGCCTTTCACGTCCATTTGTTACGACCCCCGGCCCAGTCAAGGCCACCCTGCGGCCTTTGCGAATGCCCTCGCTGTTCCTCCATCCCAGCAGGGAGATCCCGTGACCGGGTGCCCCACAAGTCGCATGCTCTCCTTCGTGTCCTCCCTGCCCCCTGGCTGGGACATCCGGAGGCGGCTTCCCGCACCCCGTTCCCTTCCCAGGTCCCTGCCTCACCGGGCCTCTCTGCTTTGCCTGCAGTGTATCCCCCCAAGCCGCACACGATGGAGGATGACTGGAAAGCCATGCAGCTCAAGCGGATGCTGGACTTGCGCATGAACCCCGTAGAGGGCCTCTCCTCCAAGTGGGACTACGAGAAGAACGAGTGGAAGAAGTAGGTGCGAGCAGGCGGCCCCTCACGACTGCGTCCGGGGCAGCGCCGGCTATCTCGTGGGCACCAGCCGGGACCCCCCCCCTCCTGCCCCCGCAGCCCCGCTTGGGCCCTCTTCCGTGACCCAAACCTCCCAGAGCGTCCCGTGTGGCCTTGCCCGAGTCTCGCCTGCCCGGTCCTGGAGGCAGCGGCCCGGCGTGCCCAGGAGATAGCCGTTCCGCAGCAGATGGGTTTTGATGCAAACCCTTTCCAGGGCCTTTCCCTAGTACCTGTGACGTGTGTCCGATCACTTCCTGCACACAATAAAACACGCTGAATTCAGGCAGTGTGTTGCGCCTCTTTTCAGTAGCCCGAGAGCAGAGGAGAGTAGCCATCTCGGCTCTGACCACATTCCTCGCCGGGCAGCTCCTCCCATGAACATTCGTGCCCTGCCCGGCGTCGAAGGCAGGTTGCCCCGGCCCCGTCCCACCTGGCAGCACCTGTACAAGGTCTCAGCACCCCTGCTGGAGATCCTTTCAGGCCAGAGCAGGGGTACAGCAGGCCCTCCGGGGTCCCCAAGTGTCTGCCCAGCATCTCCTAGATGCTCCCCATATTATGACTCCCAACTTCTGCACCTTCCCGCACCTTTTCCAGAGGCCAAAACGCCTATCTGAAGGCCGAGTTGCTGACAGGAAGGGCTTTAAGCTACGACACGCTCGCTCTTTTGGCCTTCCTGCCCCTTCTCCTCAGCCCTGCCCTCTCGGTCCCTGCAAACAGCCAGGGCGGTGCTGGAGACGGTGCCCACGCGCAGAAAGCACAAGCGCATTCCTGAGCATGGCGGCGAGAGGTGGGCTGTGGCTTGGGTGCACATCTGCCAGCCTCTGAGGCCTCGTGCCTGGCCATGCGGGGGCCCCTAAGAGCACCCTTCAGAGCAGCCGTCCCGAGGAAGCATTCCCTTTCCTCAAGAGGGGCTTCCCGGCACGGACCTCCTGTCCGGGGCAAGCAGGCCCTGATCACGGAGGCGCTGCCCAGAGGTGGCCGCCCGGCGGTTGCGGGATGCCTCTCCCAACCCATTTTTGGCCAGGGTGCGGCCACTTCGGCATCCTTGGGTTTCTCAGCTTTTATCTTTCCCCCACAAGCGCCCCTCTACATGTAAAACTGGGTATGATTCTGTATCATCAGTGCCTGCTGATGGGTTACAGAAAGCCTTGGGTTACAGAAAAGCTCACCCTGCAGAAAAGAGGAGACCCAAGAACCAGACGGGGCCTGCAACTCAAACACCACAGTTTTATTAGCAGAATTCAACTTCCACCTTCAAATCAAACTTCTTTTCCTAATAAGAGGGTCGGTGTGGGGGCCTGAACACAAGCAGGTGGGTGGGAGGGTGGGCCGAAGGGCAGCCATCCCCGCGCGAAAGGGCGCGAGACGGGCCTCCGCGTCGGGGATCCGCCTGCCCTCGGCCTGGCCCACCGTGCGTTCCCCCCTCTTCTGCTGGGGCTGGTTCACGGCCGGGAGAATGATGCGGAGCCTGGCAGGGCAGCGGAGCACACATAAATACAGACATACAGTTAACAAAAATAGTATTATCGTATTCACAACTGAATAAAAACTACTCTCCAATATATACAGCTGAGCCTGTACAGGGCGGGGAGGGGCGGGGGCGCAGGTGAGCCGCCAGGCCCTCGGAGCCCCCCCGGGCGAGCCACCGGCACGCGTGTGCCACGAGGGGTGGCGCGGCGTGGCTGGCTGCCTGGGGGGCGGCCCGGGTGCTCGGGACGGGCACGGGAGGGCGGGCCACCAGTGCTGCCAGCCCCGCCGCGGGCCCCCTTCCCTTGGCTGCTGCAGAGGCCAAGGGGGGCACAGGCGGGCACGTCCTCCCTCGCAGGGGTCTCTCCCCCCTCCAGCCCGGCCCGAGAGCGGCTCGCGGCCCTGCAGCAGGCGGCCCTGTGGGAGCGGCCGCCACCCGGTTGCCTCCAGAGGCCCTCCCTCGACCGCCCAGGCCACGTGGGCCCGGCGGCCGTGGCAACGGCTGGATGGGGCCGGCAGGTAGGGCAATGCACCGGGGTGGCCCCCTCCGGCAAGGGCCAGCCTTGCGTCTGGGGCTCCCCCGTGCCCGGCACCCCCCGGCCCGAAGGCCCGCGACGATCTCGCTGCACCGCCTTCGTCCATTTCCCGAACTCCCACCCCAGGGGAACGAAGGGGGCTGCAGCACCCACCTGCTGCGGGGGGGGCGGACAGCCTGCCGTGCACCTGCCCCTGCCAAGCCCGGGGAAAGCGCAGGCGTGCCCCCCCGCCCCCCTTTCCCCCCCCCCCCCACAGCGCCTGGCCCGGCACACGCTGTTGATTTCTGCTCTTCCTGGAAGTTCCTTGGGCAGCCGCCACGGCGTGTCCCCCGGGAGCCAGCCCTGCAATTAGCAGCTGATCGTAAACACCTTCCAGGGCAGCTCGGCTCGGCTCGGCATGGCATGGCGGGCCCTCTTCTCCCCCCAGCAGCCCTGCGCTCGCTCTGCCGCCCCCGCCTGCTCCTTCCGGCAGCGAGTGGAGGGCAGGCCCGGCTGCCTCGGAGGGCACTCCGGCACGGGGCGAGGGCGGGGGGCTCTGTGTGCCAGCCCAGGGCCCGGCGGCCCCACCCGGTCGCTCCCCCGGGCTATCCCGGCCCTGGCCCTGCCCACCTCACCAGCCACGGCCACGCTCTGGCCACTGGCCCCGAATCCGGGTGCAGAGGGCGTCCACAGCAGCGTGGCGGAGGAGCGAGGGCCGCTGGAAGGGTGGCGCTCTCGCACGCCGGGGCACCGTGGCTGCCGGGGCTGCAGTGCCAGGGCTGGCAAGGCGCGAAGGGGGCACGTGGGTTCGGTGGCCAGGAGGGGGAGCGGGCGAGCAGGGGGCCTGCTGGGGTGGGGGGCCTCGAGGAGGCGGCGGCCTGCAGGCCTCTGGGGGAGCACACAGAAGCCCAGAGAGTGCTGCGGCCAGGAGCTTCTTCCCGAAAAGAGAGGCCCCCCCACCCCACAGCTCAGCCTGCCGGAGGCCTTGCACGGTCCAGGCAAGCGTGGGGCTTTGCCAGGACTGTGAAGCGCCAGGCGCCCGCGACAGGTTCCCCCGGAAGGGCACCTAACGCTTCCCAGGACATGACTCTTCCTGGGGGGGGGGGGGGGCTGTCCATGCAGGCTCTGTGCCCAAACACCCCTCTTCCCACCCCTGGGGGCGTCTGCCTCGCTGCCCCTCTCGCCCAGCCAGCCAAGCGCTGCCCAGGGGGACGAGCGAGCGCTCTGGGGAGGTGCCACTTCCCCACACCCTTCGCGGCACCCAGGCAGCGGCTGGCGCGGTCCTTGCCGGGCCTGGGGGATGCATCGAATGCGACTCTGTGTGCCTCGGGAGCGGAGCCCGGAAGACCCACTGCAGACCTGGGGGGGGACTTCCTCCCTGGCAGACGCCCCACGCAGCAGCCCCTCCCCAAGCGCCGGGCTTCTCTCGGAGGGCTTAAAAGGAGCAGTCAAACCAAACACCCAGCTGGTGAGTCGTGGTGGCTAGAAGAAGCAGGCTCCGGGGGTGGGGGGGTTGGCAGCCCAGCACCCAGAAGTGGGGGCACGGGGCAGTGACGTGGGGCTGGAGGGGTCTGGGGTGGCGGAAGGAGGCACCAGAAAGAGGTCTGTGAGTTGCTTTTGGGGGGGGAGCTGGGTCAGAGTGGGGGGTTACAATGCAAAGGCCCCTTGCCCACCCCCTGGAATGATCGCAAGGCTGACAGGCGGAACGCGGCACCCGCTCGCGGCCGGTGTGGCGGAGGCCGGCCGGCCGGGGCGGGCGGGTGGGCGGGCGGGCGAGCGGTCAGTCTCTGGCTACTTGCGGCTCAGCAGCGAGCCGAGGAGGAGCACGCCGGCCACGGTGGCCCCCGTCAAGAGCCACCTGTTGAAGCGCTCCTGCCCTTTCCTGCTCTTCGCGGCGGCATCGTTCCCATAGAGATCCACAAACCGCTCCTGAAATGAAAGGGGGGGGGGGGGGGGAGGGGGGGGGAAGGAGGGGGGGAGGGGGGGCGGGGGGGGCCGGGGGGGGGGGGGCTGATGATGAAGATGGCAGAGGGGCAGCCTTCCCCAGGGGCTCGCTGGGAGTTGGAGTCCAACAGCTCTGGAAGACAGCAGCTTGGAGAACACGGCCCTTGACTGACCGCGGAAGCCCCCCCGGACCGTCCAGCGTCTCCCCTCGGCCCCTCTTGCAGGCCTTGGATTGCCAATGGGGTCCTAACCCATTCCAGCCGGTTGCACAGGAACGCCAGGGCGCCTCTGAAGGCTCCTGACTGGCAGTTTATCCAAAGTCCTCGCTCAGACTTCCGCATTCCGTGCACTTTTCCCAATACGTTACACTGCATCGCACGCCGTGCTTCAAGTGTGTGGGAGCCAAAGCAGCGGAGGGGGCCGAGGACCGGACTGCTGGCTACCGAGCCGGAGACACATTGACACGGCCTGCCTCTCTTGCCCAGTGGCTGGGGAAGGAAATGACTTGGGAGTTTGGTTTGGGGCCCGAGTGGGGGGCTTGGTGTTGGCGGGGAAGAAGACGCTGCCGCGTCATGCCCACTGCACAAGGCACGAAACCGGGCAGCCTCCAACCCCGGCTCGAGGCAAGGTCTTCACGTGTGGACCCCGGAAGTGCGTGGCCCGTCTCCTGGCCGCTGGGGGCCTACCCGCGAGGAGCAGCCCATCACTGGGAAAGGGTGTCGACTGGAGGGGACAGAAATCACGCCCTAACGAGTGAGCACACCGCGCCTTTCCAGTGCTCCAAGCGCCCCTGCGCCTTGCCTCCCGGTATCATTGCAACCACCTGCACGCCTTCCTGCAAAGTCAAGTCAGGAGGGCTTGCTGGGGAGAGAGACCAGTGTGGACAAAGCGATCTAGGAGTCGTGGCTGGCGGGAGATTTGGATGGGGATCCTCCTGGCCCGCACCTTGCTTTTCTCTGCCCACATTACAACCTCCTTCCTGGCCGTCCTGCCTCTTAGCCCCCTTCTCCCCAAAATGTGTCTTTCTGAGTTGTAATTTCAGCCACAACTTCTTCACCCCCGGCCACTGGAGTATGTGGGAACATCCCATGCCGTCCACCGGCTCAGCCGGTCGGAACTGGAGCTGCACCACAGGCACAGTGCAAGACAGGTTCTGTGTGAGAAACCATGCGGGCAAATGCTTCCTTGCAAAAACCAGCCACAACACAGGCGTTTTCTTTAGTGCAAAGTTCAGCGTGCACCCGGTGCCTGGGGGAGCGGAGCGGAGCCCAGGCCTTGCTCCCAAGGCAGAGGACACCGCTATCCAGAGAGGGCAGGGAGGCTGCAGGCACTTGGAGCACAAGACCCATCACGAGTGGGGCCCGTGGGAGGAAAGGGCACAGGCCCAGGGCCACCACGAGACCCGGCTGGCTCACCACGAGGCTGCAAGGAAGAGAAACTGGCACTTTGTTCCGGCCTGAAGAGAGATTTGCAGGGGCAGAAGATACTCCAGACAAACAGCGCATGACCTCGGGGTTAAAGGGAGTCACACTGTCCTCCTCCTGGGCCCGGAGAGGCGGACAGAAGGCTCTTGGAGGCCTGCCTTCCGCCGGAGCTGCTCTGCAAGGCTGCACCGGTCACGCTGCAGACCACTCGCCTTCGGGAAAGGGCGGTGGGCTGAGAGAGATGCCAAGGGGCGAAGGCAGTGCGCTTTGCTGTGTGGCTTTCCGGCCTCCCCTCGGCCTCCTTGCCACGCCTTTCTGACACTTTCCTGCAAACCTTTCCAACTTGGCAGAATCCTTTTGCGGGGCGGAGAGCCCAGCGCACGGCCGGAGACTGGAGCAAACGCATGAGGACTAGGCGCAGGAGCCCAGTGGCTGTGGGCGCAGGGTTTCTGCTAATGCCACTCAAAGTAGCCAGGCCTGCAGCCCCCACCTCCAGCCGGCAAGAAGACCTCTCCCGTCTCCTGCCCGGCCTGACCATTTGCAGCCCCCAAGGTCCTTCTCAGCAGAGAGGCTCCCCCCTCCCCTCCCTGCCCTGGCGTCTTGCCTCCAAGTTCAGCCACCAGCCGAACAAGCGCAGAGCCGAGCTCCCTGTGGCCACGGGTACGTCTGTCGCGAGGCTGACGAGGACAAAGGCCGATACCCGCTCGGGGCTTTGGCCAGCCTGGGAAGGCCTCCCAGGGCAGCATTCCAGGGAGCAGGAGGACGTTGCCCAGGGTCTGTCTCCTAGGTTTTCGCTCAGCTGGGCAAGAGATCAAGCAGATTCCGTAAGAGGCGTCTTGCTTCCCAGCCCAGCCTAGACACACTGGTCCGAGTGCTAGGGCCCGGCTTTGGAAGAGGAGCCACCGGAGATCAGGGGCGGCAAACCCAGGCAGCCAACCCTGGAGCCGCAGAGCAAAGGATGGGCCGTGCAGACGGGCCAGGCCCTCCTCTCGGTGCTCTCCCCCCGCCTGGGGAATCCAGTTTCTTAACGCTGGTGGGGGTGCCAGGGGAAGCGAGAGCCCCTCTTCCACCCAACACCAAGAAGTCCCGCTCTTCCGGGAAAGTGGGGAAGGGCTACCTGGCCGGCTGCTTGCGAGGGGGTGGGCAAGAGGGCCTGCGATTCTGAGCTGCTGGCTTTTCTGCGCAAGCCGAACTGTTTCATGCGGTCTTAAAAATAAGTCTTTCCTAAGCTGCCTGCGGCACGTGGCCCCAAAGACAGATCAGCATGCAGCACCTGGGAGCGCTCACCTACCCCCATCCCGCTGCTCCAAAAGCGGAAGACGAAGAGAGCCAGGGGCCGGAGCACCTGCGGCAGGGTCTCCAGGCCCCAGCGGGACACGGCTCGGCTTTGCCTCTTGACGGATCAAGGACGGCATCACTAATTTAACTGGCTTGGAACAGGAAACCTGCGAACTCCACGCCTCCAGCCTTGCCATCTGCTCCCGCACGGAGCGCTTGGGGCAACTGCCACCCCTTTCGAAGGCCGAGCCTCGGCGGGGCTCGCGGCTTGCCTGCGGAGCGGCCACAGGCTGCGTCACGCGCTGCAAGGCCGCCGGTGACGTGCGCAGCTGCCAGGGATGGGGGTGAGGCACTCCCGGCCTTGAGATCACAGAGGGGGCCTCAGCCCGCCTTTGCGGCGCAGGAAAGGGCAGGACGGGGACAGCAAAATGACTGAGGGGCTGGAGCACCTTCCCTGTGAGGGGAGGGGAAGGCGCCTTCACCTGGGGAGTTTTCAAAAGAGGGTTTTGGCTGAGGGTGGTATAATGGATCACAGTGTGGAGAAAGCGAGTACTCCCTCCCTCCCTCCCTCACCGTGCTGGAACCTGGGGTCACCCAATGCAGGTGACCAGCAGGAGGTGGTCCTTACACCCACCAAGCTTCGCGTGGGCATGAGGAACCCGGGCTGTTTGCTGTCGGAAGATGTCGTGGTGGCCCGGATGGCTTGGGAAGAAGGGCCGCGGGGGCAGGGAAGCCAGGCCTTGGTGGCACAGTGGAGCTCCCCTTCAGGAGCTGTGTACCAAACACTGCACACAAAGTGAAGCGGAAGCACACCACTCCTGGGCCCGTGGGATGGGGCTGTGGCCGGAAGCAGGATGCTGGACGAGAGAGGAGGGCGACAAAAGTGATCCAGGGTTTGGAAACACGGCCCTGTGAGGAGAGACTGAGAGAACTGGGCATGTTTGTCCTGAGAAGAGAAGACTGAGGGGATCCCTCTAGAAGTCCTTTAAAGGCTGCCACAAAGAGGAAGGCCACGATCTCTTCTCGTAGATGCCAGAGTGTATAATCAAGTCCAGTTGTGACAGCCCAGGTTCAGGCAGATATCCAGAAAAGTTTCCTCACCGTCTGTGATAGAACAGTGGAACCAGCTGCCCAGAGAGGCGGTGGACTCTCCCACGCTGGAGACACTCAAAAAGAACCTGGACAGCCGTCTGAGTGGGGTCCTTGCCGTCCTGCAACAGCAGGGGGCTGGACCCGATGGCCTTCCTGGCCCCTTCCAACTCTGCTATTCCATGATTCTGTGGCCAGAAGGGCACCAGCAGTCCAGACTCTGAACCTTTTCCATGTTATGTTTCCACTGATGCTAAGAAACTGGACAGCCACCTGAGTGGGATGGTGTAAACTGGTGTCTTGCAACAGCACGGGGCTGGACCCGATGGCCTTCCTGGCCCCTTCCAACTCTGCTCTTCTATGATGCTACAACCACTGGCCCAGCCACGGCAGCGGCGCTTTCGGCAATCTCACACGCACCGGAACAGACACAGGGGGGCCACTGGTGCCAGCCCACCCTGCCCTGCCCTGCCCATCTGCTGCCGGTCAGCCGGCCCCACGTGGCACATGGGGCCTGCGGCACAGCTCACCCCAGTGCTCCTCCTCTTTGGCTCTTGCAGGCTTGCTGTGATCAGCACCCAGAAGCACCCCTACGAATACCGGGCATGCAGTTTGCCAGGGGCTCTGCACTGGCGCCCTCCTTGGCCGCACAGCCACCATTCCCGTTTTGCAGATGGGGAGAGGCGGAAAGTCACAGAGAAGCTCAAAGAAGTGCCTTGCGGGGTTACGATGCAGGTTTCTCCAGCCCACGGCGTGGACCCGACCTTTGCACAGGCAGCTCGCCCAGGGAAGCTGGCGAAGAAGGCGCAGTGAAAGTGCCTGCTCCCGATTTCTTGTCCCCGGCATCTGATAACCGGGGAGGGTAAAGAGCTTGCCCAGGGACACAGAACAGAAGAAGGGTCTGAATGCAGGTCCCTAAGAGCAGAAGTCTAGATTTAAAGCTGCTTCTAGAACTCCACGGTGCTGGCAATTCTCCAGCTGCTCTGTTCCAAATAAGCGCACACAAACCCCCAGGAGCACATGACACCCCACTTCCAGCCACCCTTGCCCCACAGGATGTGGGCTCAGGGTGGGCTGTTTTCTCCAACTGCCTCTCTGCCTCTCATAAACAGTTGCTCCCAGCTTCAAAACAAGGCCGCTCTCCATGGTCCAAGAATCCAAGTATCAAGAAGGCAGGATGGATGGCATCTGTCC